CCAGAAACGTTCATAGCTCTCACCCAGACCGATTCAGATGGTAACTGTCTACAGTCAGATTTAGAAATAAATTCAAAGACGGGGCTAGGAATGAGCGATTCTAGAATAGCTGTCAGATCAAAGGAGAAAAATCTTTGAATTAAATCAAAGAGGAGAACATAAGCAGGAGAACAAGAAGACAAAAGGTGTGTTTGAAAAGGGTGAGGGACACTTCCAACTCATGAGGATTTGGGTTGGCGGCACTGTGGGCATCCAGTTGCCCTAATAATTTCTGAGAAACCTCTTCATGTCTGTTTCTCAACGCCCTCCCAGAAAGGAGCCAAATGAATAATGAAATAGTAATATGCTGTATGTATAATAGCATCCATTATGTCGCTTCATCACAGACCAGCAGCTACTGCTATTCCCGTTGACAGGACTGATACTGAGCACCCCGGGTGTTTGTCTTGCCCAGAATGACACAGCTCATTAGTGCTGCACACAGCTTGGTCAAAGACATTGTTTCCTGACTCACAATCCAATGCTTCCTCTCTAAGAGATGCCGCTGGCTTTCTAGAATCCCTGGAGCCTAGAACCTTCTTGTTACATCCATCTTTCACCTTTAAGTAGGCCCCAGAAACCTCTTGAGTGACTCACTACTTCTTGTTACCAAATAAATTACTCTTTTCAGTAAACTTGCAGAATGGTTGAATTAGGGGTTCCTTTGTGGAAAATTGGGATATGTCAAAACTAAGAGGTGGTCAGAGTCATATAGGACATGTACCAACCTGTTGAAAGGGTCTGGTGAAGTTGAGGTCCACGGTGGATCTGGTCAGTCATTCTAATCAAACTCAGTGAGGGCTTAGCTCTTCCAGCAGTGAAGGCCATATAATATCAGCTCTTAGTTAGGTTAACTTGGAGATACTAAACTCTCTTGCAAGTATCTTGGATTTACCTCTCATTGTGCGATCAACTTCTCATGTGGAAAAAAAAAAACCTAATCCAATGATAGCTAATCCACCATTATGAACATTTGACTTTCGAATTCAGAGGGGGACTCTCTGGTATATTATTCATGTATCCCCATGTATCCTCCAGGGATAACCTTCCCCACTCCCAGCTAGCTGCTATATCTGTGGCCTAGGACCCAACGATTGAAAATTGCCTATATTGATCTGTATCAGTACAGAGTAGTTGCTGGGATCCACTAGAAGCCAAATGTTTGACTTAGCTAGCTCATACTGCTATAACAGACCTGTGGCTTAAACAACAGAAATTCATTTCTCACAGCTCTGCAAGCTGGGAAGTCCGAGATCACGGTGCCGGTGTGGTCAGGTTCTGGTGGGAGTTTTCTTCTTGGTTTACAGATGGCCACCTCCTTGCTGTGACCTTACATGGCAGGTGGAGAGAGATCTCTCGAGTGTCTCTTCTTAGAAGGGCACTAATCCCATTCATAAGGGTTCAACCCTCATGACCTAATTACCTCCCAAAGGCCCCACCTCCAAATACATTGAGATTTAGGCTTCCCCGTTTGGATTGAGGTGGGGGAGGACACAAACATTCAGTTCATGGCATCATAATATGCAAGTAACTTGAGCGTGTGCTCAGGAACTAGTGTGTTGATCTCAAATACTTCCCGACATTAGAAGAAAGAAAAAATGCACAAGGATTCACCCTGTGGCATCTGCTCAGACTTTAGAGATGAGGTATAATTCCTGTAATGTCCTGAGGGTTCCACTGGGGAAAACCAGCATATGATTTCTGTTGGGAGCACGCACGGAGTTTGACCTTGTAAAACATACTGTTGTTGCACCACGGGGGCTGCAACCTGGCTGTGCTCTCCACAATAATCCTGCTTTGTTTTCTTGGGGTGGAGGGAGGAACAGGCAGAACCGTCAAACATGCTTGAAATTGATTCTAAGTAGTATTGTTAAATACACCAGGATTGCTGGGAAATAGGTGTGAGTTGCTCTACTTTAGATGCAAAGAATAAATGCAGTGGGTCTCAACAGCTAGAATAGTAATTATGTCATCTGTCTTGTCGCAGAGTTTGACTATAGTAATTGCAACATTTTCTCCCATCATTGAGGCTTGTAATTATAGTGCAACTAACAGGATTATGTGCTAACTTGGGCTGTTTTAATCACCTCTTTTACTCTGAAATGCAATGGTAAAATTCCACAGTTGCTCCCAGGCTGCCAATTCTTTTCAACATCTGTTGTCTTCTAACAGTTCAATACTAAGGAGCAGAGGCAGAGAGGCTCTGGGCATTTCATAACAGAGGTCTTTAGATAAAGCAGACTTTAGGCTTGATGAGAAAGCGTAAACAGCAAGGGAGTTTTAAATTTCCAACCCAAATAAAATTTTCTCTTTGAAAGCAAATCATATGTTTTTTGTTTTCAAGATGGCAGATGTTTTCTGCAATTTGGCAAAGCCTGCAGCCCATATTTTATATGTGTGGAAGGAAACTTGCAACTATAAAAATCAATCTAGGACTGATTAAGAAAAACCTCCCACGCAACCTAACAAGCAGGTTTGGGTTAAGTAATGCCTGGATCTTAAGTTGTGTGTCGGGACATCACCTTTCATGTGTAAGACTCATTAAGATGTTCATTACTTATATTTATCTTTACAGATCACATAACAACAAACTTCAGGGGTTATCCAAATACTCTGTTTATGTAGGAAATAAAGGAACATCGCACACTCTGTGAAATAAGGGGGCTGACGGCTGAGCTGGAAACCTCCCTTGATTCTTTGATTGTAGGATGACTTACGCACTCTTCGAGTGTTGTTTCAACAAAACGAGGGCATCTAGGATATAAATGTTGCATGGAACCAACCCAGATCTGCCCATTTGGTCTTAAATTGGGCTCTTATTACTTGGCACCATTAGGTATTCATTCCTGTTGTACAGGTGCCCAGACAGGACTCCGCCATCCAGAGGACTGTCGTTCTAACTCAGCAAGCGCATCTGTGATCCTAAAACCAGCAGCAAAAGGAGGCAATCGAAGAACAGCCTGTTTTCCTGAAAGAAAAATTGTGGAACCAAGTGCAGTATCACCTTTAGAGGTGATAGAAAATTCCCTAGATTAGGTCTGCTGAAAACTAGCAAGGCCAGACTCAAACAGCTTAGTTGTTCGGGTGTTAACAGATTCAGAGCTGTGTGGGCAGCAGAGACACGGATGGGAGGCAGGAACAGCCCAACCCCATCTCTCCTTCACCCAGCCGTGCTACAAAGCCTCATTGTTTTTTGAAATTGAACTATAGCTGACATACAGTGTTATATTAGTTTCAGGTGTGAAACAGGGTTTCCACAATTCTGTACATTACAAAATACAATTAAGTGTAGTTACCATCTGTCACTATACGGTGTTGTTAAAATACTATTTGACTATATTCCCTACATTTGGTTTACTTTTCATCCCTGTGACTGTCTTATAACTGGAGCTTGGCACCTCCAGAGCTACATTTTTGGGGCCCCTTCTTCCAATGCCTTAGTCTGACATACTGGTCACCGTGCAGGAGCCCCCAGTGGGGCGCCCCCTTGTGGTCGCTCTCAGGAAATGGAGCTATTCAAATCCACCCACGAAGGATGTTAAGCATCTGAACGTGTGGCCCACGGGAAGGGTCACACTGCAATTACAATTTAGCAAGCTAACTTTGGGCCAGCTGGATCGTGTCAAGAGGTAAACCGAGGTATATTAAAGTTTTTCTTTTCTTTTTTTTTAAGATTTATTTAGTTATTTGAGAGGGAGAAGAAGAAGCAGGCTCCCGATTGAGCAGAAAGCCCAACTCGGGGCTTGATCCCAGGACCCTGAGATCTTGACCTGAGCTGAAGGCAGATGCTTAACGGACTGGGTCACCCAGGCGCTGCGAGCTTGACTCATCTGCTTAACCTCTAGTTTTATTGGCGGGGCGGCGGGGGGATTTCTTATACATCTCTACCAGAATTATTTGTAGGATTCCAGCCACTGCTAAATCAGATAGGTCTGGGCTGGAAATCAGAAGAAGAATTTCTTGAAAATTTTGGAAGATAGGTCAGTCTTTAAAACCTGGAGGGAATGTGTGTGGCTTGTATACACTGGAGGCTCTAAGACATTTTTTCATTCGTTTGTGGGACGTTTCTAACATTCTAGGGAAGATTTAGACTTTGGATGTACCGAAAGGATCTCATTTGACTGCTGTATACTTATCCCCTCCTGTAGCTTCTAATAAGCCTTTGCAGATGGAACCACCTAATTGGCAGGATGCATTAATGCACAGGCCATTCATTTGCTGGGCACATGACCCAGACCCCAGGTGAAAGGAGCTGGTAACTTCATCTTCCTATTAGGGAAGGCGTCTCGGCCCTCTGCCGGCTCCCGCCCAGCTCCTCCTCTAGAACCCCTGGGCTTGAATGAGGGGGATAGTTCAGGGCACCACCACCACGTATCCACAGGCTTCAGGTAAGACTGGAAGGAAAACAGAGGGGAAGGAGATTTCTGGTCAAGAGCAACTCCCTGCACAGGGGAGTGGCCATTGTGAGTTAAGACACATGCTGAGAGTACGTAGCTCATGTATGTAATCTATATAATATGCTAATAATGTGTGTTCTCTTGGGGAGAATGAAGTGTCTCTCCGTGCTGGTCATGAGAGTGGATTGCAATCAAACAATTAATAACAATAATAAACACAATCACACTGGTTTGGCCTGGCCCAGTGCTCCGCTTTATTCATCTAGACATGGTTTAGCAAAGTAATTGTGAAGCTACTGGCCTGGAGCCTCCCCTCATCACTCAGCTGAGAGGAGAACAAGGATGTCTGGACCTTCTCATTCCTCTCTGGAGTTTGCTCTGGCACCCCCGGGCCAGACCTCTTTCCACCCAGGCATGTTTCAAACCCTGTCTCCTTGGGTTTGCACAGACCCTCTCTCCAGGCTGGGAATGGCCTTACCCTTGGCCGTGTCCACACGGACACCTCTGCGCTGGACCCACAGGGAACTGGCTTTTAACCCAGCACCTGTGCTGTGTCTCCTGCAGGTCTCCCAGGCAGCCGCGGATCTCCTGGCCTACTGTGAAGCCCACGTGCGTGAAGACCCTCTCATCATACCAGTGCCTGCATCCGAAAACCCCTTCCGAGAGAAGAAGTTCTTCTGTACCATCCTCTGACTCCGTTGGTGACGACGTGGCTCTTTTTTCTGTCCATAATTCCCTGGCAGAGACCGCATGCTCTTAGCCGTAGGGAGTCCCAGCCAGCCCCGCCCTCCCCAACCGGGATGACCAGGGCCCGCCTTCCTCCGCTGGTTTTCTTAGTTGCATTCCATTTCACACCTTCTTTTCATTCTCATGGTATTTCCATCACTGGCAAAGCAAATAGACATTCTCGTAGCCAAATAACACACGTGCCAAGTAAAAATAAGTATGGGGTTTAAGGTTTAAGTTTTGAAAGCATCGATTCCCATCTTCAGGACATCGAGCTCATACATTTCAGTGGCAAATTTATGGGAAAGGAAAACTGTACATCCCTCCCTCCCCCCATTCCCAATAATTCAGTAGCAAATTAGAGCATTTGGACCCACGGAGATATGTGGATCACGTTTTCATCTGGAAGTTCTCTATCTCCTGCTTTTCCATCATCCTGTTAGAAAGGAAATAACCCACAGCATCAGACGGCTTTCCCAATGTGTGTCTTCTCTGTGGCCTTGGGGCCCAGACCCCGGTGAGGACACAGCTCCCTGTTTCCCACTGATTACCCTCGACCGCTTTGGAGAGAGTCCTTCTACAGATGTCGATGTTGGGGGAATACTGTAGCAAGCTTCACTGTCCATGCACACCATGGTAGCTGTCTGTGCGCTCCGGCCGTGCCAGCCAAGGGCACCGTCCCCCCTCCATATGCCCCGTCTTCCTGCTTCTCCTTCTCTGACTCCTCCGTAGTTCTATCCTGGGTGCACTAGTAGGGACCTGTTGGGGCACAGCACGGCACCCCGTGGGGTGTCACCAGAGTGGTTCTTGCCCCAGAGGAGCGAGCCACAGGGCAGCAGCTCCTTCTGCACCACCCATGATCTGAGCATTGACCGTGTTCACTTATTTAATGCCCCAGCAATTAATAAATGCCACAAGAGTAGCTCTGTCTCTGTTTTAAAGAGAGGAAAACTGAGGGGCGCCCGGGTGGCTCAGTGGGTGAAGCGCCGACTCTTGATTTCGGCTCATGTCGTGATCTCAGAGTCCGTGTCGGACTCCGTGCTCGGCGGGGAGGCTGCTTGAGAGTCTCCCTCTCCCTCTTCCGCTCGCTCGTTCTCTCTCTCTCTCTAGTATAAATAAGTGCAGCACACTTCTCTCCTCATCTTTGCCAGGAGAAGGCACGTTGGGCCTAAATAGCTTGTGGAAAACAATAAGACAGATACGTGGATGCCCCAGTGGAAGACTAGACAGCCCTTGGGTTTTCTGAGACCAATGTGCACACCGCGCCTAAAACAAAAATGACGAAAGAGAGTAAACCACGGGGGCAGAGGGCTCCCTGTCCAAGTTTGCGCCCTTCTGTTGGCGTCCTCCCTGCCTCTCTCAGCAGCTAGCTACGTGATATGGGACAAGCCACTGTGGGCCTGGAATGTTCTAACCTGCTAATTGGGGATAATGGTAATTACTCCTCCCGCCTTTCTCTCTGGGAGGCCCCAGAGAGGTGCTACATAGATGGAAGCTCTGATTATCATTTAAAATAAATTGCTAAAAGCTCCAATATAACACTGGCAGGAATGCATGCCTTCAAAGACACCGTGGTTGGAGGACTCATGTAAAATTGCCTACAAGGAGCCAAATATAATTTCAGGTCAATTAATAACTTGCCACCTTGCAAATGGTTTTAGTGCATTTTTATTCTCTGCCTCTTTCGTTGGAAGCGATTCTTCACCTCATTAAAGCTCACAGGCCTCACCAGTGAGGTTAGGAAGCTGTGTACCGTAACGAGAGCAGAACTGTGTGGCTGTGTGTGATCGTCAGACTCAAACCCTTCCCCGTCTCAGTTCATGACCCAGAGCCCTTTCTTCTGTGGTCCATGTCAACATCATTAACCTGATTAAGCAAAGCACAATTCGTAAAAGCACACCAGAGAAGCCGAGGAAGTGGGACAGCACGGAAGCTGGCTCAGTCAGGTCAGGACGAAACGGTGCTTCTCGCCTTCCTCCAGACTTTCTCTCCTGTTTTCCCTTTTCTTGTCCCTCCCTGCCCCGTCCCTCGCTTTTTCCTTTCCCCTTCTCTCCCTTACCTTCCTCTGTGAGATGCTTTTTCATCTTTGTGGTTTGCCCCTTCTAAAGTGTCCCTGAACTCAATGCCCTCTTCCTAAAGGCAAGGTCATGCACTTGGGCTCCAAGATACCCAGACAGGTAGATGAGCCCCTCGCCCTGCTAGCCACTCACCTGGAGGTGAACCAAAGTGGGTGCACCCGCCGTGGACTGTTGTCACTTTGTGTTCGCAGTTTGACTGTCCGGCCTCTGACCCCCTCTTCCTACGGGGAGGGAATCATCCCTTACATGTACATTTAGTGGGATGCAATAGTACTCCCTTTCACTGTGGATGCTGAAAGGGGGAGGTCTTCCCTGTCTCTCAGGTGTACCCCCTTTCCGGCACCAGGCCGGTCAGGGAGGGGCCAGTGGCCTGATGTGAACTGCCTGGACTCCTTGGCCTGGACCTATGAGCTTGGAGCAAATGGCCCAGAAATGAGAAGATGCTAAGATTGGTTTGATGGGAGGTGCGGTGGTCCAGGGACTGCACTGGCCCAGAAGGAGAGGCATCTAAGCCTGGCAGGCTGCAGGGATTCTGTGCCCATGGCTAACAATGACCCAGGATGGCAGAGTGCTGAGTAGACCATTCCCGGTCCATCCCCCGGCCCCACTAACTGTCTTGCCCCACCCCCCACATCCTCCTAGGTCTCTTTCTTTCTAGCTTTCTGTCAATTCTTTGAGCCTCCAAGCTCAATCCAGTAAATTTCTTATTCCATGAAATAGCCTGGGTTGGATGTACATATCATATGATCTTAAAGTGCATACTTTACAGAAATGTGTATATGTGTTCACCAAGAGAAAAGTACTAGAGTGTTCATAAAAGCGCTATTTGGAATAACCCAAAGCCGGAAAGCACTCCAATGCCCACGTTGAATGGATAAACGAATTCTGGTGTATTCACACAGTGAAATCCTGGGCAGCAGTGGGAATAATGATCCTGCAGCTCGACCCCACAGCATGGTGTGAGGCTCACGACATTGGGCAAGTTCATACTACGTGATTCCCTTTATGTCAAGGGCAAAACTCAGCTAAGCTAACCCATGCTGTCGCAAGTAGGGAGTATCAGTTACTCTTTGGAGGATGGGAACCAGAAGGGGCACAACGGGAGCTTCTAGAATGTTCTGTGTGTTGATCTGGTTGCTGGTTACCTGGGTGTGTCCAGTTTGTGAAAATTCTTGGAGCTGTCCACTTTGGATTGTGTACTTTTCTGTATATATGTTATACTTCAATAAAAGTTGGTTTGTGTGGTTAGCAATCAAGAATTCTGATTTTTTTTCTTTTGGGGGACACTTAGCTCAATTTTTTACTCCTCTTTAGGGAGAACATCATTAATGGGGCAATTAAGAGTGTATTTGACAACATTTTGAAATTTGAAATACTTCTAATCCACAGCTATCTGAACAGAGAATCAGCTTTCAGCAGAATGCAGGCAGATCCCTGGGAACGGGATTTGGGAGTGCCATGCTGTGGGATCTGTGTCTTTTGGGAAAACAGTGAGCAGTCCTGCTGGGATTTCCCAGTTGGATCAGCCTCTCTGTAAATGAGGCAGGTGACCTCTTAGCCTCTCCTGCCTCCTGGCCAGGAGCGAACGGAGGGGGTGGCCGGCCACAAAACCCTATTATCACAGACCACCTGTGAAGGAAGAAACCGCAGCAAAAGCACCAGCTGGCTCCATGCTGGTGCATCTTCTGAATGCAGCCCTGGCCTCTTGGCCACCCAGCCCACGGACACCCGGAGGCAGACATGACTTCTTCAACTACACTCCCACTCCCAGGGACTCGAGGGCCCCTGCCAAGCCTCTGATCCTTCCTGAGGGTCCTGCAGTGCTGTCTCCTTCGCTCTCAGCTACCACGTAGCCACTCTCCTTGCAGAGAGTGAATATGGAATCCCAGGTTGATCACAGAGTAGCTTCACGCTGGGACTCCTGCCACATGAGTCCAAAGGTCTTACGTTTGATTCTGAGCTCCAGCCCCCATGAAACGCCACAGTGAGTCTGTGAATTGTCAGCAGCCTCCCTCCGAGGGAACCACAGGAGGGGAGCAAGCCACAGGTTGAAGGAATTTTGTTCTGATGACTGTTCAAATTTGAGATGAAAATAATAATAACAACAACTACTATTTTGACCTGGAAAGAATATGAACTGTGGAGATAGTTTAGACTCTCTATTTACACTTCCATTTCATTCAGCTCCTCAGGGTGGAGAGAAGACCCCAGATCACAGGTGGCCTTTCTGGAGGACCAGAATGGTGCTCCCTACCCTGTCCCCAGGAGCTTCGTCTCCTGAGCGGCACGCAGCTCAGCCCTCCCCGGGAGTCACAGCCAAGAGCAGCAGTGGGGGACAATAAGCTGGGCATCTGTCCAGTCTGTTTCTGGAGATAAGTGTGCATGAGCCAGTGTCGACTGCCACTGGTCAGAACTGGCCATCCCATCCGGTTTCTGATAAAACCCTTACACTTGATTCTGTGTTAGCTATAAGTCATTTGCTAACTTGTAAAATTTTCAAGCCCACCATACACCGCTGTTATTCTAACCACTTACTTTCAAAGATTCACCATTGACAGAGTGGCCTCCCAGGCCCTGCCTGCTCTGGCCCCCACATATTCCCTAGACTTGCCTTCACACCTCACTCCCCCTCAAAACCCTGTGCTCATCCGCCCCGGCCATTATTTTAGCCTACCTTACTTGCCCCTGTTCCCTGCTGCCACAGGACCTTTGCACCTGCTGCTTCCTCTGCCTAGCACACTCTTCACTCCTCTCTGCCAGGTCTACTTACTTTTTAGATCTCAACTCGAACATCACCGAGGGTTCACGCCTTCCCTGACCTCTCTGACCAGGTCAAGTGTGTTTATAGATTCTTCCTGCACAGTGAAGCTCTCCTTACAACGCTTGTCATTGTTGGAATTTTACATTTGTATATGTGATCACTCAGTTCCCCATTTGTTCCCCCAACTACGCTGTAAACTCCATGAAGGCGAGGCATACTCATACT